GCTGATCCCAAAAATCCACTTTAGAGAGCTTGAAAATGGCACCAAAAGAGCGTTCCCCACTGCCCTTTGATTTGAATTTGAACAAGTCGGCAAGGCTGAAGACGCTGGATCGTTGACCCAATGGTTGCACTGCGGAGGGCAACCTCCAATGGCGAGAGGAGCCTTACCATTATCCAAGCGCAAGTACGGCTGCCGTCATACTGATCCGCAAGTTCGGGAGCAGTTCCAGCACTGCGCTCAAACTGAGCGCTGTACTGGGACTGTTCCTGAACTTCGCTCAGTATGACGGCAGCCTAAGATTAGCTGGCGCGTGTAAGATTGGGAACAATTTTCTCGGCAGGGAAGGCATATTATGCGACCAGGATGGCACAGTTTTCATACTAGGGCGATAAACAACCTACCCATTACAATCCTGAGTTGTTAAGTTTTGACGATCCAGTGCCTTTAATGATGGAATGATAGTCATGCGAGATGGTTCTCTCAAACTCAAATGCGCGATAGGATAAGACCAAGTGAACCCAAGTAAAATTACTCTTGAAGGTGAATTCATTTGCTCATACACTTTTACCAGTAATATATAAGGGATCTGCTTTACACACAATATAAAACCGCCTTGGATGTTAGTGTGTCTAGACGACTGACTTCCACTAATAGAAACAAGTGTAAGGGAACGACCAAAGGTTGCCGGCAGCGGTTGCCAAGGTTGGCAGCGGCTTACCTAGGTTGCTGGCGTTGCTGGTCGTATCTAGTCTCCGGCGCTCTCCAAACTGTCTCCGACCCGGCAACCTCGGACACAGTTACCGGCAACTTATGGCCGTTCTCAAAGGAACAAAATGCGCTAGGAAAGTGACCAGACCATTATAATCTGTCGGCTTTTTCTTGTCGGCTCCAAAAAGCTTGATTGTAGGAAACCCTTGCACGTTGTATGGAGCGCCAACAGACTGATGCTGTGTCATGTCTACAGCTCCAAGCTGAAACTGGGCATTTCAAAAGGCAGTCGATGTGAACGATTTCAAACCTTGACGATACCCTTCAAGGCAGTCGCAGCTTTTTTATATTCTGGAGCAAGGTTCTTACAATGACCACACCTAGAAAGACCTTGAAAGTTCCACATCAATTTTGCCGGTGAGCAACAACATCATACAAACCATGGGGCATAGAACTCTACGATCCAAACTTCATCGCTGTTAATGACCCTATTTTGAAAGTTTGAAGAAGTCAACTCAATCACATCATCTTTAGTCGTGTAGAGTGCCAAACACGCCGGTAGAACTGAAATCATGAAACGAACAATTACGTGCAACATAAATGTTCGGTTCCACACATAAAAAGTGTGACGAACTCACGGCACAATAGTGGGAGCATGATATTCCGAAAGCGTGGAAGACGGATAACACGCTCGATCAGAGCAAACCGGCCGTAAAAATAAACGTCTGCCAGCAGCCACGCCCAAAATGTCGTGGTGCCTTGCAATTGGTCCATCCGCCGGTGAGAAAGTAGGCATCGAGGGTTCCCCAGACGACAACGCGGAACTACGGTAGTGATGGACGAGAGTCCTTGTCTGACTTGCGGGATGATTGGCCTAAATTTACAGTTTTGTGCAACATCGTATGGATAAATGATTTGGTTTGGTCATTCATCGGTAGTCACAAACTTGGTGGTAGCAGCCACAGTCTGATCTGTATTTAGGTATGGGTACAATTTGGGATTACTCATTTTCGGGAAATTTGTGTTTCTCTGCATGTCAAAGCTTTAGCCATATTCTTATATAAATTATGTGTATCTGTTTCCGTGGTTTCATGCATTCATTCCACACTATGGTCATGTATCTGCTCTTACGAAGTTTATTGTTCGAAACCTTGCGCGGTTATCCATTGATCTATTCATCGCAGTACTCGTGCGAAGATACTAAAATCTTTTTTTTT